TAAAGCACTTGACTGCTAACCAGAAGACTGGCAGTTCAAACCCACCAGCCACTCCTTGGAAGAAGGTTGGGCAATCTACTTCCATAGTGATACCACCTCAGAAACCCGAGAAGTGGTCGCTATGAGTTGGGGCTGACTCGATGGCACATAACAACAACAACAGTACTAGAAAACTAAGACAGAATTTGGTACCAGAAGTGGAGTGCTGGTCTAAGAGATGCCTAAAATATGGAAGTGGTTTTGAAGTTGGGTAATGGGGAGAGGCTAGAAGAGTTTTAAGATGCCTAATAGTAAAAGGTTGGGCAATCTACTTTCTTAATTATACCACCTCGGAAACCCAAGGAGGGGTTGCTATGAGTCGGGTCCAACTCGAGGACACATAACAACAACGGCAACAATAGCAATAGCCAAGATTGCCTTGAAGAGACTGTTGGTGGCATCTTGGTTGTCAAAGGCAAACTTGGTGAAGGTTCAGAGGGAAGAGAGCTGTAACACTGGAGGCTGCGCAGATAGCAAGAAGTGGTGGCTGAGAAGTGGTGGCAGCAGAACCAGGAGACCAGTGCGTGACAGCACAGCAGCCGGCCCGTGGAATGAGTGAGCTGAGTGCCTTTCGGCAGGAGGCATCCTGGTGGAATAGGGTGCCTCTGGCAACTTGTCACTGGAGCTAGGCTTGCTGACTCAAGAAGCAAGAGAGCTAAGCACCTTCAGACTGGGGCTTCCTGGCAGAGTAGGGTGCCTCCAGGCACTTATCGGTACAGCTATAGAGCTTTGTAACATTTGCCTGAGCAGAGCACAGGCTACAGCAACCAAAAGGCCCAAGGGGCTGAGGGGCCAAGAAGCCAAGGAACTAGGAAGCAGAAGCTGAAGAGATAAGGAGCACGAGCAGTGCTGCCTCCGTCTCAAAGGGTAGCATCATAACTCTGGGGTCTCAAAGGATGGAATCATGGTCTGCTGGGTCTCAAAGAGTGGGGCTACAGCCTCCTAGGTTTCCAAGTCAGATCTCATCAACCCAATTCCAGAGTGTGAAGATGCCATTCATGATGCCGGAGGTGGTGGTTGGGGGGCTGGGTCCACAGCCCACAACTGACGAGGCAGGGCTGCCATGCCCAAAAGCAGAATGGGCCTGCTGAGGCCAAGGAGGTCGAGTCACCACTCAGTTGAAGTAGACGAATGGGGCTGCCCAAACCCAAGGGAGCAGAGTTGCTATCATAGTGGGCCTGGAAGGCAGAACTGAAGCCCAGGGACAGGGTCCTCCACCCAGAATCCCGAGGACATGGACAACACCCAGAGTCTGGAGGGCCATTGCCCAGACGGTCTCAGAGAACAGAGGATCATTTTCAAGCCTTGAGAACTAATTTAAGTTGTTTTGCTGAGTTTTGGACTTGCTTGATCCCATTCAAGTAGCTCTTGTGGCATGGTACCTAAGGCATTTGATTGCTAACCAGAAGACTGGCAGTTCAAATCCACCAGCCACTCCTCAGAAGGAAGGTTGGGCAATCTACTTCTGTAGTGACACTGCCTTGGAGACCCAAGGAGGGGTTGCTGTGAGTTGGATCTGACTCGACGGCAGTGAGTTTGGTTTTTTGGTTTTTGTGATTAACGAAGGAGCTCTGGTGGTATAGTACCTAAGGCATTTGACTGCTGACTGGAAGGCTGGTGGTTCAAACCCACCAGCCACTCCTCGGAAGGAGGGTTGGACAATCTACTTCCATAGAGATACTGCCTTGGAAACCCAAGAAGGGGTCGTTATGAGTCAAATGGAATTAATGGGCAGTGAGTTTGGTTTAGTTTGGTGGTTAATGAGGCAGGATTAGGTTATATTAAAGAGGATTATGTTATGTTTGTTATGTTAATGAGGCAGAAGTAGGGTGGCATCCAGTCACTTTTACTTAAGATACCACCCTTGCTCAGGTCACAGCCCTAATGTAAAGGGATTTTCCCTGGGGTGTGGCCTGCATCAACTTTTATCTTACAAAAGAAAAGAGACAGAAGACAGCAGAAAGGGAGGGAGCTCAGTACTGCCACAAATGAAGAGCCAGGAGCAGAGTGGATCCTTTGGACTGGGGTTCCTGCTCCAAGGCTCTCCTAGAGATGGGGGAGGAGATGGGGCAAGCCACAGGAAGCTAACCCAGGAGCAGAAGCTCCAAGAGACAATGTCCTTGTTCCAGAGCCACACAGAGAGAAAGCCTGTCCCAGAGCAGGCGCCCTGAGTCTGGACTTCCAGCCTCCTAAACTGTGAGAACATAAATTTCTGTTTGCGAAAGCTACCCACTTGTGGGGGAGTATTTCTGTTATAGCAGCACTAGATTCCTAAGACAATGGGTATGTTTGAGTTTGCATAGATAGAACTAAACACATGAATGTAGATGAGAGAAAAAAGAACTTTTACAAAGATGATAATTTATGTTGTAGGACTTGGCTGCTCTTCTGAATACCCCAGCAGAGGAGTCTTGAGAGCAGGAAATTTCCAGCTGGAACATCAAAATGCTCTATTCTCAGATGCCCTCACTGGCAATTTTATGAGCATGCTGTGATAAGCAATGACAGTCTAGGCAAAAACTGGTACTTTTTAAAGCAATGTTATTATTTTTTAAATGCAAGAAATGAGGGATAAAAGCTAAAAAACATGATTTGATTTGGATGCCAACACTTCCCTGATTGTCTCTAGTGTAACTGCCAAAGAATGGGCAGGCGTGGCGGAGCAGACACCACCTTGATTAGGATATGAAAACCCCAGGAAACCAAGAGCATAAACAAGCCCAAGTTCAGGTAAATATTTAGGTATTTTATTCATGATTTTTAAAGCTCTATCTTTAGCTTTTCTTTGTGAGAAAGTTAAGGAAAAGCATGCTTGAGATTTTAGCACTTTTATGAAGATACAAGTATATGTTAGTCAAGGTTAGAGTGAAACTGAAAGAATTCCAGATTGTTCTGTCAGGATTTGGGGATAATACAGTGATAATACAGAGAAAATTTAAACTCAGCGTAAGCAAGGTAATGTTGCAGAAGCTGAGATTTTCAATAACCATGGTTATACATTGTGACAGCTTATAAATTAAAAGCCTAGCAACTTCTTAGGAAATACACTCAGCCATCACAAGGAATAATATAATAGAGGTGACTGCTCTATAAAAGAGAGTTTGGCCTGATGCTACATGGAAAATGAAGAGGAAGTAATTTTGAAAATAGTATTCTAATGGTTATTCAGCAAGCTTATACACCCACCACTGAAAAACAAAAGTAAGAAAATCAGAAGTTGCTATGAAATATAAGCAGGCTGGTAAGAGTGTAGGTGGTAAATTATATTGACAGTAGATTCAAATAAAACTATAATTGTTAATTTTCAAATTCATTGTACCATTAATGTATGTGGGATACTATTTAATAGAGCCAAGATGGAAGGTGTAAGTAGAATTGATTAGGGTATTAAAGGAAAAAATAAATGAGAAAAATCAAATGTAACTTGTGAAATTTACGACCTTAAGGAATTTTTAAGAGGATTTAAGACTATTCAAAATCTCCAAGCCTAAAAGTGAGGCATTTCAACATAGTCATGTGTGATCTTGGACAATTTATTTAACCTTTCCCAGCCTCTATTGCTTCTCTGTATTGAAGGGTGAAATAATTTCTTAGATGTCTTCCAGCTCCAAACTATTATTCTTTTATTTGATGTTATATTTAATACAAAGCAAAGGTTGAGGAAATTTCTCTTCCACTTCAACTATTAAATGTCATTGTTTTGTAGCCGAGATATTATCCTCCACCCTTCTTCTGACCCAACGGATTCATTTGCCTATCCCAAACCAGAAGACAGCCTCTGAAATGTTGATAGCAAACAAAGTGCTGTGAACATTGACTCACAATTTAGGAATTATTGTTTTCCACTTAAACAATGTTTTTGAGTATGCAGAAGCAAGAATATGAGCCTAGCAATCAGATAAACCTGGGTTTGAATTTTAACTTTAACAGGTGATTGCAACAATAACTGTCGCTTTATCTGCAAAACTGGGGCTAATACTCTCCCCTTGATGAATGGGAGTATTATTCAGCACTCAGATCAACACATTTGGAGGTTTCTGCTCTTTTTATTTATAATGCACTAGAGCCTAACTAGAAAAGCAAACAGATTTGATCATTTTTAGAGTTTTAAACTACAGAAATCACTGCTGGCTTCCAATAAAACCTTTAAACAAAACGGAATGAAGCAAGTCTCACAAATAATAAAACCCAGCCACTCTGACAGGTTTTGAATACCAAGGGATTTCAGGCAATAGATATTACATCAACAGACACCTGCAAGACTCTTCTGCAGAACGTTCTAACGGGTCATTTCTTCGCTTATGGGCAAGATTTCTAGAATGCCAGGGGAAAATTAACCCTCATTTCAATATTAGACTTTGCAGTCTGAATAGAAAGACAGCCAGGGTCTAATTTCAGACCTAAGAGGCCTGTGTCTAGCTGCTTGGAAGGTTAGTCAGATAGGTTTAATCCTCCTGGAGGGCCCCTCCCCAGAGCCCCAAACCCTCCATTTTGAGAAGAATTTAGGGCCTTCCCGCTCTTCTCCTTGCTCCCTCTTTTATCTGTCTTCTTCGGAGCTCCCACCCCCACCCCACTCGGTTGTTTCTCCTTTTCCATCTTCGCTTTCTCCCATAAGTGGTCAAAGTAGGAAATGGAAGTATCTATTTGTTGCTTGGTGTAGTAACCGAGTAGGATTCTTTAATTAGGGGGGGGAAAAACCCCTCCCCTCCCCAGTTCTTCATTTTGCAATGAGTCCAAACGTCTGCTGGCTCCCTAAGTTCTCTTAACCAAAGGGAGACTCTCCACCAAAGTGTCATTTACTACTAAGAGAAGGCTTGGGTCTGTTGAAGGAGTCTGAGTCTCCTGCCGCAAGGAGAGAGCTCCCAGTGAACGGGCTCGGGATCCCGGGAGGCGCGTGCAACGCTAGCTACCCCACCCAGGGTGGGGAGGCTTAGGAGAAGCGGGAGAGTGGCTGTCCCTACCCAAGCGGGGAAGCCCGTCCCGGGAGCGCGAGGGGCGCAGACAGTGGCCGCGGGGACGCGGCGCGGCTGCCGCAGGGGAGCGGCGGCGGCGGGCGCGAGGGGCGGGGCGCACTCCACAACTTCTCCCGCCACCTCCCGAGCGCTCCTGGCCAAGCCAAGCGGCTGCTGCGGGCTGCGGGCTGCGGTGCGGCTAGTCGAGCCCGGCCAGCGCGCTCGCGAGCCCGCGAGCCCGCGCGTCCCGAGCGCCCGTCGGGTTCCAGAAGCGCCTCTCTCAGGGAGTTCCCGCGCGGCCGCGCTCCCGTGGTGTCCGCAGGGGCTGGGGGCGCGGGACGTGCGGGGCCCCGAGGCCGAGCAGGGGCGCCCCCCACCGACGAGCGCGCGCCCCCTGGCTTGCCCGCGCAGAGCAAAACAGGCGAGGTGAAGCCCCCGGGACGACAGCCGGAGCGCGCGTGGCAGGGGCGCTGGCTCCATGGGCAGCAGCTCATAACGGTGCGAAAATGGACGTTAACAGCAGCGGTCCTCCGGACCTCTACGGGCACTTTCAGTCCTTACTCCTGCCCGAGGCGGGACAAGGGCTGCCCGAACTGATCCCCGACGGCGGCACCGAACCGTCCTCGAGCTCCTGGTCACCGCACCTGATGCGCGGGGCCTCCGAAGTCACGTCCAGCCCGTCTCCCACCTGGGACGCGCTCGCGGACAATGCTTCAGGCTGCGGGGAGCAGATCAACTACGGCCGAGCGGAGAAAGTTGTGATCGGCTCCATCCTGACGCTGATCACACTGCTGACGATCGCGGGCAACTGCCTGGTGGTGATCTCGGTCTGCTTCGTCAAGAAGCTCCGCCAGCCCTCCAACTACCTGATCGTGTCTCTGGCGCTGGCCGACCTCTCGGTGGCCGTGGCCGTCATGCCGTTCGTTAGTGTCACCGACCTCATAGGGGGAAAGTGGATCTTCGGCCACTTCTTCTGCAATGTCTTCATCGCCATGGACGTCATGTGCTGCACGGCCTCGATCATGACTCTGTGCGTGATCAGCATCGACAGGTAAGGACCCGGCCGCCCCGTCCCGGGGTCGGGCTGGAGACGTGCGGGCTACTCAGACCAGCGCGCTCGCCTTGCCAGAGAGTAGTTAGTATCAAGCCAGACTCCACTGGCGGGATGAAGGGCTGCGTTTAGAACATCAACCTCTGTCCATCGGCCCTACCCCAACCAACTTCAGTTACAGCGTAGCCTACTTAAACCTTTAAAGGAAAGTCCGAAGTGTTCTGATTTACTGTCGTGAGGATTTTGAGACTGAAGTTAGGATGGTTTAGTATTAGCAGTTCCAGCAGGGGTCCCTTGGCTTGGTTTTCGGGAGGAAGGGAGTTGGTACTCTCTCAGCTTGACAAACCCTTGCTGAGAGCCTGAAAGAGTCATTTTTTACTTTAAAAAATGAGACGGCGAAAGCCCCTGTCTTCCAATTGTGGGAACTACCCCCCTTGCCCGTGAAAGGAGCTAGGGACGAAGGAAGAATTGGAGGCCTGTAGGTCTTAAAGGTTTAACCCCTACCTTGCTAATTCCCAACCACGTTCTTTTAAAAGTTTGATTTTTAGTGTTTGGCAGCGCTGACTGTATCCTGCAAGCTTACCTAAATAGAACCTTTCTTGCTGTCTGAATGGTTGGTTCTAGCCTTTCATCCTGTTTTTCGGGAACCTTCTTTTGAAAACTCCCCTACTGAAGTAATTGAAACAGAGGCTGGCCATTTGTCGGGAATGCTGGGGGGTGGGAAATCTCTGCATTGATCAGATTGGAGTAGGAGACCCCCCCACCCCCCACCATCTAGGGTTTCTTTATGCGCCAAGATTACAGGAATGTGAAATGGAGCTAGTCTTTGGCCCTAGAGATAGTGCAGTTGACCACTTGAAGGATGGTCTTGTTGCGCTTTTAGCCACATAATGACTCTGTTTCTTTATAACAGTAATATGAAGCCTAATGGTCACACTCAGAATTGTGCTGGTGTTTTAAAAAACCTCTTTTCTCACAGGACTGGTTTCCTGTTGTGTTTAATGATACACAGAAACAGTTGTGGACCTACAGACCCTTTAAATGTGTAGACATGTCAGCATAGGAGAAATAATTGATGCCTCCACACTTAAAATGATAGTGCCTCAAGGGATAGTCTAGCACAAAACTGAGATTCCGCCCCCCCCTTTTCCTCCTTGTAAACACAGTTATTTGTTGATACCTAACATGGTCTTTCATTTCACTGCTTGACCAGGATTTATAATTACCAAGTAAAGGGGGTATTTTCAAGGGGGGTGGGAACAACAAAACACTACATTGTAGCTGCATTTAGTTAAAGCTCTAGATTATTTTTTTAAAAATTGATCTGCCATTTTATATATTAGAGTTGGGGCTTTTGATGGAAGACAAGGAATTATTTTAAGAGCAGAGCATGAACTGCGTATGTGTGAATATTAGCTCCAAACTTGGCAGCTGAAGTTCTTAATTACTGTACTTAAGAATGACAAAAACATATGCATTTACAGTCTGGTTATGGCAAGAGGAATTAGCATACCCTCAATATACACATGAGTTAGAAGCTCAGATGTCTGACTGCTCAGCCAACCAACTCTATGCATCTTGTATGGATGGGGTGCCTTTAAATGGAATTTAATGTAATACAGCAAATAACAATTTATGCTGCAAGTTATGCATTTAAATCTTATTAAAATTTCATAATTGATATATGATAAACAGCATATTGTGCTAATTTGTTTTTTAAGCAGCCAGTGCTTCTGCTCTTCTGGCCATGTTAAGATTTGGCTGGGACCACCCTGTGATTCATATACCTGAGGTAAAGGCATTCTTCACTCAGTGCTCATGCATGACTTAGCACCAGCAGGAACATCTCAAATCTAGAGAAGAGGTTAATCCTTCTTGACAAGAGCTTCATCAGCTATAGCTGTTTGATCGTCACAAATTGTGGTAATATATGAATATGGGTTGTGTCTCTTTGTTTCCTATGAGAATTTCCCATTGGTAAATTCTGTTTATTATAGAAGATAAGCATATTTTTCAGAAGACGTGAAGAATTGGTAAGATGAGAAGACACAGATTGCTTTTCTTCCAAGAACATACTGAACTAAAAGTGAGAAAATTTATGGTGTATTTGCTATCTAAGGTGAATTATTTTGGAAAAGAATGTCTTCTTCAGTTCCATTGCAGAATATGACAGACAATACAAAATGTGCTAATAAAATATTTTTAAAACAATATTTAAGCTTCATTCTTTCATTTATTCCCTCTCGAGTAGCTCATATAGGTTACACTGTGCTCCGTACAGCATAACCAAAGATGAATAACAAGAGTCTTGCTTTTGAGCTCATGCTCTATTGTGAGAGATCAGATACCGATGGGCATTTAACCTTTTCAAAATGGAACCTCTGATTTTTTTTAACCACTCCCACCATACTGAGCTGCATTTCCAGTCTTTTCCAAATGCAGCGTCATACCCTGTAAAACCTTCTTCACTGTCTCCAAGACTCCCACCCCCACCTCTTTCAGATAATGAGTCATATTCATTGAAAAACTGGCAGCCATTAGATGGGAGCTCTCATATCTTTCCACCACCAAACAGTCTCCCCTGTACCTGTGTATCTTTTTTCTTTTCTTTTTCTTCTTTTACTTAAAAAGCAAGAAGACATTGTATTCCAGCACAGATCAAACCACTTGTGCCTCCGATCCTGTCCCTTCTCACCTTCTCAAGGACTTTGTTCCTTCCTTCATCTCTCATCTGTCTTTAGCTTTTCCCTTTCTACTGCATTAAGCTGAACAGCATATGGATAAGCTCTTGGTTTCTATCTTTAAAAATCCTTTTTTTGGACTCTCTTTTCCCTTCAGTTACTGCTCTACTTTGCAGGTAATCTGCTCAAAGAACTGGGTCCACACCCTGTCTTCCATACCCCTCAAATAGATGAAGTTGTCACTCATCTGTCACCAAGTCATCAGTATTCTCCTAACTGGCCTTCCTGCTTCCACTTCTACCAACCTGCCATCCATTCCCTATGAAGAGACTAGAGTGATCTAGTAAAGAAATTTTTTTTAAGTGAGATAAAATTTACATACAGGGACATGCACAGATCTTAAGTGTACAGTTTGTTGAGTTTTGACAAATGTGTATACTCATGTAACCAACACTCCACTCAAGATATACAATATTTTCATCATTCTAGAAAGTTCCCTCATGCTCCTTTTGAAATGATTCTTTAAAAATAGAAATAAAATTACCCTTTATTACACAACGTTAAAATAGGTGAAATAGATCCCTATACTGTTTATCTGTCCCGTTGCCGTCGAGCCAGTTCCAACTCATGGAGACCTCGTGTGTGTCAGAGCAGAACTGTGCTCCGTGGAGTTTTCAAGGGCCGGTTTTTTGGAAGGAGACCACAGGCCTTTCAGTTAGCAGCTGGGCATGTTAACTGCAGGATTCCCATATATTGTTTAACTCCCCCCCAAAATAAACCCATTGCTGTTGAGTTGATTCCACCTCAGAGGGACCCTGTAGGACCGAGTAGAACTCCTCGTAGGGTTTCCAAGTCTGTAAATCCTTACAGAAGCAGACTGCCACATCTTTCCCCTGCAGAGTAGCTGATAGGTTCAAGCTGCTGACCTTTTGGTGAGCAGCTGAGTGCTTTAACCACTGTGCTGCTAGGGCTCCTTGCCATATATATTGTTTGTGGAAGTTTGTATTATGTATATATACATATATATGTATTTATATATGTATATTTATACATACCCTGGTGGTGGAATGGTTAAGTGCTCAGCTGCTAACTGAAAAGTCATCAGTTAGAACCCACCAGTGGCTCTGTGAGAGAAAAGACCTGTCAATCAGCTCCATTAACGATTATAGCCTAGGAAACTCTATGGGGCAGTTCTACTCTGTCTTGCAGAGTTACTATGACTTGAATCAGCTCACTGGCACACCAGCATCAACAACATATAAGGAATGGTGCAGTTGGTTAGGCTCTCAACTACTAACTACAAAGGTTGGTGGTTTGAACCCATCCAGAGGTGTCTCAGAATCAGCGTTTGGTGATCTGCTTCTGAAAACCCTAAGGAGAGAGTTCTACTCTGCACACATGTGTTTGCTGTGAGTTGAAATCAACTCAACAGCAACTGATTTTGTTTTGATTTTTATATAAGGAATGAAAATATAAAGTAGTGCAGAAGGATGGTGAATACCAAATTCAAGAGAGCATTATCCCTGGTGGGGTAGAAGGGAGTGCTATCAGAGAGTGGTACACACATCAATTCTATCGGCAAGGTTTAATTTCTTAATCTTGGTGGTGGTTACAGTCTTGTTCTTCTTCATGTAACTGTTTGTATGTCTGGAATATATTGTTAACTTCTTATTGAAATACAATTTACATATAGAAAAGTGCACAATCCTAAGTGTGAAATGAGATGAATTTCCACAGAGTAAACACAA